AAGGTCTCGGTTTACTATAGCTCCAAGTTCGCAGTCCCGTAACTGTAGAAATTATTCCATGTTGTTTCAATATTTTAATTTTTTTCCTTTATTCGCACACGTGTATTTAAATTATTTATCAACATACCCGAATATTGTTTAAGCTCCAACATATCTCTTTTATGTTTACTTGTCTTTCAAAAGACACCCAACCTCTTCTAAACCATCTTCTTTCTGGTTGAGGATCTGCTATGGCAACTCGCAAAAATCCAGGAAAACGTTTGCACATCTATTTATACAGGTTATTCATAAATTTATCTAAAAAAATGTAACCTACAATATATACGACATATATTTATAACTAACCGCTTCAACTTCTGCCTTTGTTATCGTAGGTGCTAAATTACGGAGGAAGATACTGCTGGTCTTGTGCAAAGCTCTAGGTTCTTTTTCTTTATCTTCACTGGCTAGGTCGATTACCGCTTCTGGTTCCATAGCAGACTTTTTAGCTTCTGGCAAAGGTTCACTGTCTGTTTTAGCATCTCGATCACCTTCTTTATTATCCTGTGCATCAGTGTTTTCATTACCGACATCTATTTTTTCAGTTATATCTGGAACAAATTAAATTAAAGAGTAATGTACAATTTTTAAATAAGTATAACATTGAAACTTACGAGGATCTGCTTTCGGTGTATCGGGTTTGTTACTATCGCTACCAGAGGAACTACTACTGCTGCTACTGCTGCTACTACTGCTGTTACTATCAGTTCGTTTTCTCTTTTTGATATTAATTTCCTCTTGTTTGCCTACACAAAAGTAAAAAGGAAGTGGAGATAATAGAAAAATTGTAAGTATTATTTTTTATTTAATAAACAAAATCAAATACTTGTGCTATCCGCACTATCATCCTTTTTTGTTTCTTCTATATTTTCCTCTGACTTTTCAACTTCCTCTATCGAAATTTCGTCATTTTCTGCGCTTTTAACCTCAGAGTCCACACTTTGACCATTTTTTAAATTTTTCTCAGTTTTCGAAGCTTCATCAACTTTATTCGTATCACTGTAAAGTGTACAATAACGATTAATCCTTCAAACCTTCCCCTATCCTTTTTTTAACGAATACCAAACCAAACCTATTATCGCCTTTTTTCTCAGCTCCAATTTTGTTCTTCACGTCTTCTTTATCTTTGATCGTATCTTTAGTTATAATCATATTTGTTGGCTTTATGTCTAACACTTGTAAATCTTCTTCTGTACCACCTTCTAATTTAATAACTACAGCATCTAGCAGATGCAGCAAAGCATCAGCTTGATCGGCATCCACAGAAACTTTATCTATTTCTTTAATATCTAGCATTTCCAGGAAGACTTCGACACGTTTCTGCCAGGAAAGATGGTAAGAATAGTAGGTTCAATCGATTCCTTAGGGAAAATATTTTTAAATCGATAATTTATACCTTAAGAGCTGCCACCTGTTCTTCCTTTCTCTTCACTGATTCTTCTGGATGATACTTTATTTTGAACCTGGTAAATTGGTAGAAAAATATGGTGTTTCAACCAATTTTGAAATAAATTTCTTGTAAATTAAAGCAAACAGACGTACAATTTGTGGATTTGTCATTTATGTATATTCAAAAGAAAGTGCATTAGAATTAAGATAGTAGTTAGTTCTACTAAGTCCTCAATATAATTTTATACTGAAAATATTCATGTTCGTATAAGCACAGAGCGTGCTTTTAATCGATCATAAACATATTTACGTAATCGTAATAAATTTGTCGCAATAGGTGATGAATAAGATATAGCAGTAATTGTTACGTTTCCCATCCATATCTAGAGCGAATCATTCCTTGTGACTAAATATTATTATATCCTTTTCCTCGAGACGATTATTTATAAATTATCAGTTTTACTGTCAACATTGTCAGTTACAGAATGAAGCCTCACCTGTAGAGTCTGATATTTTTACTCGCATTCAGTTTTCTTGTCGACTCAGAGGTCTATTGTAACAATAGCATATCTTTTGAATGTCAGAAATAATTAAACGGGTTTAGAACGCGGCCTATCGCGAGCATGTTTGGGCTTTGCGCGCCCAGCTCGCATCTTTGTTTAACTACCTAATAGACACCTCAATTCTTCTGCGATGCGCGAAACGCGAAATTCATAAAATATCGTACGTAAAAATAAACGAGCGAGGTGACCTGTGCCCAAGACATAAGGCGTTGCTGGCTGTACACTGTAGGGATAGACAGAGCTGGTCATATTGCTTGCAATTACCGATAAAATTGTGTCTGCAATTTAGCAAAAATTATAAAGCTACTACACCCTAACGCTCTTCTGTTCAACGTATGTATGCACTCTAGGCATACATACCCGAACAGATAGTCTAATAATTTCATTAGGATTAAAAGATTACTTTCTACAGTGGGCATAACTTTCATGCAACAACGTGGATCTCGACGTCTTGTGGAAACATTGATTGCAAGATTATTGTTTTAACAGTAATAACAATTAAGCCACTGTAGAAATTAATTATTTTTATATCCACATTTAAGTACGACTGAGCTTCACAATATACATATAAGGAATAATTTCGAGACCATTATTAGCGAACTAAAAAATGAAATATACCATTCCTCGTCCTTGTGTGCAACGAAGAATTCATTCAATTGTTGTCTCCTGAATTCCAATTTATATTCGTTATATCGTTTAATAGCTTCCTCGTCTGTAATCGAGTCTTCTTGAGTTCCGAGAAACGCTTTGAAAGACATCATTGGTGGTTGAGTTTCAACATTGGAATTGCTGAAGTTACCAGCTACCTCTCGACTGCACAAAACATGAAACCACTTACAATTAGTCAAGAAATTTCAAACATTTAAACGCTACCTTAATCGGGCCAACAGTCTTGGAGTGAATCGACTCCTTTTTTGCATACTTATAATACAACCTCTTTTTTTCATGACAATGCTGTTTATAAACCAAGAACAAATTCATAAAGAAAAGAAAAGGGAGAGAAAAAAGAAAATCTGCATTAAAAATAACATAAGAAACACAAACCTGTTACTGTTACTGTGGTTTCCATAGTGATGATTGCCATGGTGAGGAGGTGGATAATGGTCTGGTCCCCAGGAAGTTGCACCCCCTCCTCCACCTCCGTAATAATCATGTCCATATCTTGGACGATCGTCCCAATCTGTTCTCATTCTTTTCATAGGCGGTGCCATCTCCTGTGATCTGCCAGGACTATATCTATCGCGTCCACCACCTCCACCTCCACGGTATTCTCTGTAATCTGGACGTTGTCTAGGTCGACTGGACCATTCTCTGGAATAATTACTATCGTTAAAACTATCAGAGCCTGTTTATGCAAAAACAGAATAACTTATTTTCAATATGGTTTTATTTGTTAATATTTATTTTAAAGCTTATTAATTAGGTAGTTACCTATCCACCCAATCATCTCTTCTTCTGTCATCTCGTCGACCTTCTCTAGAATAAGATTCTGTTCTCTCCCCTCTAAATTTGTCTCTTCTTTTCCTATCGTATTCATCATCAGAGTCACCCATAATGCAAGGATTTAATGCTAAACAAACAAGATGCAAATAGCGTTTATAGAATTCTAATCCTTAATAAAGTAGTACTTCCAGTATTTTCTGGAATCTAGAAGGGGTTAGGGAGTAGGCAATTAGAACATACGTATTTTCCAGCACGTGATCCACAAACTTCTCAATCATCGTTTTATCGATACTATACTTGAAAGATGTATAAACTTTTGTGAACGTGTGTGTTGCGGAACTATCAATTATTTACAATTTTTCGAACAAAATGTTCGAACAACGCGCGAGTCTTGCTTGTAGAGTGTCCAAAGCATTTGCAGTTTGGCAATTTAATAAGACATAGTATTATCAAGAGAACATATATATAATATATCCGAATTAAGGAAACTAAATGGAAACAAAAAAACTCACCCACTTAAAGTATATTGCAGAATGAAATTAAAACTCCAGCACAAGGGATTTTTGTCACCCGTTACCCTGCGTCACCAAAGTACTAACCATACTGTATATGTATTGTGACGCAGGTATGGCGTCATAAGCGCCATTGTAATCGATACTGCACTCGCATATCGATTATTCTTTCACTTGAGAGCCGCGAAATTCAAATAAGCTTTAATACGAATCGTATAGTAACAGATATTTGCATGACTAGAATCACGTAAAAAATATTTGATACATTATACAGATCGTTCAGTACAATTTTTTAAATAGCATTAAATAGTATTTAAATATTACAATTTATATGGATAAGGCACCTAAATCAGGCATCACGATTCTGAATCATCCCGAATCATACGAATCATACGATTATTCGAATTGAAAAATATTAAAGAGCTGAATGTCAGTGGTTTTCCCGTATTCCGATATAATCTCCTATCCAGGATATCGACATTTGATGAAACAAAGCGCGTGTTCTATAAATAATTCTGCAATCATGCGGTAGCAATTATACATACATAACGATCATTGATTCTCTTTTCCACGATTCGCAGAAAGTGCATAGAGTCATATATATTATTGTCTTACTGAAAGCAGCATAATTTCTATAGACATAGAAAATTCGGTACGCCTCTAATATAAATGGAAATAATGCGAACTTAGAAATAGAACATATTTCCCGAGCGAGCGTCGAAGTCGCCAGGACTGCGATGCAACTCTCTGTATGTTTGGATTTTTTCTTTTTCCATCGTAACTAACTTATCCACAACAAAATAAGCGAACAAGAGTTGTTAAATGGTTGAACGGCGACGTAGGAGACGAAAATAAAATCGCTGGAGAGGAATATCAAATGTTGCAACAAGTAATGCCAAGCAGTGTCATAAATTCAAAAAAGCAAGGATGGGTTACGCTCCAATTTGCATGATACTCCTTCCTTTTCAAAAGAAACGTGTGGGGAATCGTGTATCTCGTGGAAACTCCTAAAGCCGGATGACGTAGTCGCGACGAAGCCGGCTGGCTGAAACTAGTCGATCGGCGTACCTATTGTTAGTGCTGTGAACACCGTCTGGTAGAAAGAGTCAAACAAGTATTACTCATTGCCACCGACATTCGGATGCGTGTCTTCACGGTCGGGGATGATACTTGAACGCGATGCATCCTTTCACTGCCGGGGGTATCCTTATATATAGAAGTATTCGATCGAGACTCGCCTCTCAATGACTTGAAGCTCGTGTCGAACAATCAAGGATTCGACCGTGCCAAATAATCTTAGGATGATCGGGATAAATCAAACAATCCGGTTCTCGATGTTCGCCCTTCTAATCGCCACGGTCATTGTTGGTTCAGGTAAACTACATTCTTCATCTTTTTTCTCTCGTTTCCACATTGCTTTTTTTCTATAACGATCCATCACTATTATATAATACTTTGGCCACGAAAAGAAGATATATACGATAAACCACCCACACAACGATATTAAACTCTAATCTGTTACTTTTAGGAGCGCACGAAGGAAGTGGCGGAAGCAGTAGTCTAGCGTACAGTATGTATTGTATTTTAAAATGTAGAGGATAAATCGATAAGATTTTTATTAACTGTTTTCATTAATTCCGAGAATAGGCAGCGCTTCGGCGTCCGCAAACGCATACGCGAATGCAGGTGCAAGCGCATTCTCGTTGAGTAACGCATTTACTGGAATCGGAAGCCTACCTGCGGTTGATGGGAGCCATGACGGGCACAAAGGAATTCGCAGTTACGACAACACTGGCTACAATGGCAATAATCAGCCAAACGGTGGAGTCAAAGGAAATCAGCATGGTGGCTGTCCTAAGTGCAAGTGGGAAGACGACGATTACTGGGAAAAAGACGAGGATGAAACTGAACCAGAAGAAAAAGACGAAGACGATTGCGATGACGGGGACGATGGACAGTATAGAGAACACGGTCATTATCACGGACAGAAAAATAAAGGAGGATCGCCTCCGGGCGTACAGAAATTAGGAGTGCTTAATCCCAACGGTCAAGGACCACACACGGGAGTCAGCGCCACGTCAAATGCTGCGAGCGGTGGAAGTGGCGCTCCATTTGGAACAACGCCAATTAAAGGAGGACGCCCTGAAACTGGGAGCTCGAGCTCAGGTTCACCATGGAACAAAGCGTTCCCTGTAACCGGTCAGCAACCTGGATCAGGATGGAACACAGGCTCTGGAACTACGCCGAAACCCGCCTGGAACCAAGGGTTCGGTGGTTCACCCGGAACAGCTCCGCATCCTTCTAACAGTTGGAACTCTGGAAGTGTACCGAATGCGGATGTATCGAGTCCTACCAGCGATGGAAGCTGGAATAGTGGTCCAAAAACAGGTTCTGGATGCTCCGGCAATTATCAACACGGCACCGGCTGTGCTCAAGGTTAGCTAGAATTTTTACATCTTATTTAACGATGCCGATTCAACGAGTCAAGCAAACACCAGCTTTACCTTATACATAAATTCATCTCCTTGACCGTGAAATTCTGAATAATTTTCGAGAATAAATAATATAAATATAATATAATATAAATAGATAAAATTCGCAAATACATTATTCAAATTTTTTGAAAGTATTCAAATCTACAATCGAACATTTTTAACAAAATGCATAAAGGTTACATTAGTCGATCTCTAATTTAGGTACAAGCGGTGTCGGTCCTGTAAAACAATCTCCAGTGCCATTCTTTGGCAGCAACCCCGCAAATGTTCAGAAGGAAAATCCTGTTCATTCCACGGGTCCAACAGCAGTATATAATCCTCAAGGATCTCCAGCCGGATGTTCCAGCAGTCCTTATGATGCCAGTTGTGCCGATAAATCTGTTGAACGAACGAGACCACATGACAGTCCCTTTGCATCATCTTATGGACCAAATCCGAGCCAAGGCCAGTATCCTGTAAGTGGGTCGCCTCAAAGCAGTCCTTCCGGTTCTCCTGTAGGACAAGGCCAATATCCGGGAAGTGGATCGTCTCAAAGCAGTCCTTCGGGTCCTCCGCACGGTTCTCCCGCGGGACAGGGGCAATATCCTGGTAGTGGATTGCCGAAAAGTGGTCCTTCCGGTTCTCCACACGGTTCTCCCGTAGGACAAGGTCAATATCCGGGAAGTGGATCGCCTCAAAGCAGTCCTTCGGGTTCTCCGCACGGTTCTCCCGCGGGACAAGGGCAATATCCTGCAAGCGGATGGCCTCAAGGCAGTCCTTTCGGTTCTTCGCATGGTTCTCCCGCTGGACAAGGCCAATATCCTGGTAGTGGATCGCCTCAAAGTAGTCCTTCGGGTTCTCCGCACGGTTCTCCCGCGGGACAAGGGCAATATCCTGCAAGCGGATGGCCTCAAAGCAGTCCTTCGGGTTCTCCGCACGGTTCTCCCGCGGGACAGGGGCAATATCCTAGTAGCGGATTGCCGAAAAGTGGTTCTTCCGGTTCTCCACACGGTTCTCCTGTAGGACAAGGCCAATATCCGGGAAGTGGATCGCCTCAAAGCAGTCCTTCGGGTTCTCCACACGGTTCTCCCGTAGGACAAGGCCAATATCCGGGAAGTGGATCGCCTCAAAGCAGTCCGTCGGGTTCTCCGCACGGTTCTCCCGCAGGACAGGGGCAATATCCTGGTAGTGGATTGCCGAAAAGCAGTCCTTCCAGTCCTGCGCACGGTTCTCCTGCGGGACAAGGGCAATATCCTGGTAGTGGATTGCCGAAAAGTAACACTGGGCGCGGTTCCGATACGGGGCCATACGGAGGAACTCCATGGAACTCTGGAAATACAGCCAGACCGGGAAGCTTAGGAAATTCAGTATATCCGACAAGCCCTCAAAATTCTAATGCAAACGCTGTAGCTTCAAGCATAGCGTACGCGGGAACTGGTGCGCCGACCGCTGGAAACGGTTTCGATTCTAGCCATCCTGCGAGCAGTCCTTCTTATGGGTCTCCATCTGGAAATGCACAGACGCCAGGGTCTTCAGGTTCTCCAAACGGAAACGTTCCTTACGGAACTCAGAAACCTAATTACACTGGTGTTAAAGGAGGTTCTTCGGGTACAGCACCTAAACACGGTACTCCCAAAAACGGAGATAGCAAGATCTTTTATGTGAACGTAAATCCTGTACCAGGAAGCCCTGCAGGGGTTAAACCTCATACACCTACGGGTGCACCTTATAGTGATACCGGAAAAACACCACCTTCTTATCAACCTGCTACTTATGGGGGTACCGGAACGCCAAAGCCTTCTTATCAGCCTGCACCTTACGGTGGTCCTGGAACGACAGAGCCTTCCTACCGTCCTGCTCCTCATGATAATACTGGAACGGCAAAGCCTTCTTACCAACCTGCTCCTTATGGGGGTACCGGAACGGTAAAGCCTTCTAACCAACCCGCTCCTTATGGGGGTACCGGAACAGCAAAGCCTTCTTACCAACCTGCTCCTTATGGGGGTACCGGAACGCCAAAGCCTTCTTACCAACCTGCTCCTTATGGAGGTACCGGAACGGCAAAGCCTTCTTACCAACCTGCTTCTTATGGTGGCCCCAGCACAACAAAGCCTCCGCATGAATTTAATTCTTATCCATCGGGAGAAACAGATAAGGGTTGCACAAATGGATCTCAAGGTTGTGGAACTGGGAGCGGATGCAGCAGTGGAACAAGTCTGAATGGATCTCCAGATTACAAGCCTTGTAGTCCAAACGATCTTTCAGTAGGTGTTAATAAGGCTTCTAAACCATTAGGAGGTTTTGAAGCAAACCCAAATGATTTTTCGCAAAGTCCTCAACAAATCACGCCTGGAACTGGTCCGCAAGGTTGTACATCTGGAACCAGCGACGGGTGTACCTCTGGACCAAGCAATCCTTTATACGTTTACAAGACTGAAACAACGAATAAAATTCCTGGAGAAGGAGTAGGGTCGTATCCGTCGAATCCTTTCTTAACTGGAAAGATTCCTAGTTCTGGTGCTGGTAATTAATAGGAAAAATTATATGTATCTCTTTTCATTTATGCTTGATATTAAAAAACATCTATCTTAGGTGGTCCTCAGCTAACAGCTACTAGTAAGCCAGTCGGTTATGGAAATCCCTTCCTGCAAGGAACTGGTGCAGTCGCGGGAGCGGGAGCTTGGAGTCATGTAGGTGCAGGAGTAGCAGCGAGTCCAGGCAGCGGTGGCAAGAACGTTGTTTCGATCGGAGAACAAGCACCTGAGCCTATTGGCAAAGATAATCCTTTCCTTAATGGATTAGGACACGGAAGGGGAGACATCGGAATCGATGCCACGCCTAATTCAATTTCTGGAGGATCGTTTGCTCCAGACAGTAACATGGGTAATAGCGGACTGAGTCAAACGAATGGAAGTCCTTCCTTTGGCGATAAAACACAACAAGGACATTCCGATCATTACCCTGGCTCGATTTGGAATTCAGGTTCAACGAACGGCGGAAGCTCTTCAGCCGTGAGAAATCCATCCACAACAAACCGTGGCTCGGGAAGCGGAGGAGGTGTTGGAATTGGTCCGGGAGGATTTGGAAATCTTTTCGGTGGTGCACTTTCTGGAGCTTTTAGCAGTGCACAAGCTTCTTCACACGCCAATTCTGGTTCTGGAGTTGGTATGTCTATTTGCTTTCAATAATTTTGCCTTGTTATTTTATTAACGTTTACTAGATTGGCGAAATATATACCTTCTAGAAAAATATATTTACTAGAAAGGCGCTAATCATACCAATATTTCAAGATTCCGTTATATCGTGTCGATTACAACATCGTTATGCAAATTCAAATTTCTCGACATGAAGCGGAAAGTAGGCGGAAAGTAGACAGAGATCTTCGATGAAGATTAATATAGGTAATATAACTGTGAATATAACCAGTGAATATAAACTCCCAGAGATAGGAAAACGTTTCAAGGTCTACTATCGAAACACTTCTATCTGGATTTTCATTTTCTTCATCCAACGTATCAGGTTGATCAATGAGATCTCGCTCCTGATAAAACATAAATCATAGGCATGAACTGTTAATTAATAATAATTATCGGATACATCAAATAATTTCCGTTCTTCCAATGTCTGCGATGTTGTGTAATCCTACTACGTTACAGGGTTGTATATGTATAGCATGTAAGCTATACATAGAAATTATTCTATGTATATGTTATATATGTATATAATGTTTATGTTATTCTATGTATATGATATTGATGATTATCGCCTTTGTTGTGAACTTTAATTTGTTAATATTTACGTCTCTGTTGTTTAAAACTCATTTTAAATTCATAAAACTTTCAGTTAAGGTATGATAAAACGAAAACAATATATTGGTTTTTAGCACCAAACACAGGTTTCGGACAAGCAAACAGTGGAAGTTGGGCTTCCAGTGGAGCGTCGGCAGGAAGTCATGCTGGAAGCGGTGCCTTGTCCTCCAGCGGTGCTTCCGCTTATGCGAGTAGCAGTGCTAGCAGTAAGTTTTGTAAATCCAGTTCGCATGTGTTTGCATAAATAACCAAAGAATCGGTCTTTAAAAAATAAAACGCTGTTTCAGGCTGGGCAGGCGCACAACCCTCTTTCGTGAAAGGCTAAGCGATATTTCCAGGAAACGAACGATATTTCCAGGAGAAGATAAATTTCAATCATCCGCAAATTACGTAAACGACTGTTTCATTCTACTTCGTTTGTATTTCTATTCGTAACTCGTTTTACCTACTCATCTTTTATAATACAAACAAATCGATGTACGAGCAAAATTACCGTTCTTTTTAGAATTCTCTACACGCGCCTTGATAATTCGCCGGTAATTAATGATCAATTCTTCGAAGCGATTGTATTCTTATTATACGGCGATTCTTATCGATCGGTGTTTAATGAATAATGACGTAACTAACGAATCAAATATGTTGTTAAACAGATTTAATACATATGGTAATGTATCAATAAAAAGAATTATTTTTGATGAACTACTTTTTAAAATTATCCTTCAAATTATGGTCAAATAGCAAGATTGCTCGAGGACGTTGTTAGTTGTTCTTAAATACACCGAAATGTGTCATCGATCACCAATGTTCGAATTCAAGATTGTTATAAAAGGCAAACATACAAAAGACAACATTTCTCCTTCATTCTAAACATTCTAGTCGCATGTAGTAAAGAAGCAAAGTATCTGACACAAAGTAGGAATAATAAATCGTTGGTTCTCATACAAATTGGTTGGATAGTAGTATCTTTGACACGAAGAGTGACAAACGTGGTTTTACAAATGAATTTAAATGTAACATCGTGTATACGGAAATACCACTTATGTCACTGACATATCCCAAAGATAGACGTTTGTAAGTATGTATATACATTACGCGTCTTAACTTATGAATTATTCATATCAGTGGGAGGATCTTGAATCTGTAGTTAAACATATCCTCGTTGTATCCAATAGCTGTGAAAAGATAATTTTATCGAACGAGTCATATAAACATTAGATGCATTATTAGTAATAATAACGCGTAATAAACTGCTGTTACCTTGGGATTCACGTTAAAAGTCATATGAATTATCTATACGACTACAAAAGTTCTACGATTCAGAACATCGTTTTCAGAAAAGTCAATCGGAAATTAATTCGTAGTTAGCCGATGAAAGATGAAAATTAAATAAACTTCAATTAAAAAAATTTCTACTTGGCTTTATCTACAGAAGCATATGCAATGGTCGGTGTAAAGGACGTATCCAATAATACTTTATAGACGGAAATAAGTAAGAATGAATCGTTTATTCGAACTGCACAGTTTACGTCATGTGAATCTGCTATTTTAAAGAGGAGGTATTTTAAAGGTTTAGCGCTACGCCAGACTCGCCCACGCATTTTATTCATTGAATACAATAAAGACAGACTAGGTATAAACAGAAAAAATAGCGATACGCGAATCGAGCCCCGCGCAAGCCTTTGATCACAGATCAAATTCTGGCTCGTCTTCTATCGTAAATGTCGACTTCAACCTCCTCCGGTAAGACCATTTAGATTTTTCCAGCCGATACTTTGTATGATCCCTTTCCAGTAGAATCGATGTTGGCTGCACTACTGCTGTAGACACCTTTGGCTTTGTCCACGGCTCCGCTCTTATTCACTCCTTCGTTGATATCGCCCATACGTGAAAAGAGACTAATTCGACAACAATCATTGAATTAATTATTTTGTCAATCGTTGAATAATTTCTATATTCAGCGGTGTCAAAAATAAGTAAAAAGGAATAGTACGTCATTTTATCTTATTTCTTTTAAGAAATTCTTTTAATTCATATATTAATATCAATTAACTTACTCGACTCCATGTCCACCGGGACCACCGTAACCATCGTAACCGCCGTATCCTCCTCCGAGACCGGCACCAGCGTTTGCGTTCGCAGTGGCGGATGCATGCGCATTTGAATTAGCAAGAGCATGTGCATTAGCACTGGCACTCGCAGCTGCATAAGCATTCGCGTTGGCGTTGGCATTGGCGGTGGCACTGGAAGTGGCGCCTGCCCCTCTATAACCACCATAACCACCGCTTCCGCCTAGACCACCTGCTCCACCTCCAGCACCTGCTCCACCGCGTCCGCCAGCACCAGCACCACCGCCTAGGCCACCATAACCACCAGCTCCACCACCGGCGCCTGCGCCACCTCCGGCACCTGAACCACCGTAACCTCCAGCTCCAGCACCTGCTCCACCGTGTCCACCAGCACCAGCACCACCGCCTAGACCACCATAACCTCCAGCTCCACCACCGGCGCCTGCACCACCATATCCTCCAGCTCCACCACCACGTCCGCCAGCACCACCTCCGGCACCTGAACTA